AATTAAAATGTTTGCAGCTTTGTGTGTGATTTATTATTATTATTTATTGTGGCAGAAGCTGGTGTGGTCCACCACAGAGAAGCTGCTCTAGCATGATGACTTTAATTATTCTACATGTATTGTTCAGCCTTCTGACGCTCCGTGTGTTTTTATTTCTGCAGTGAGACAAACTCACCTCACACCATCCAGTTTGTTCTTTAAGCTTCTATTAAATCCACCGTGTTGATGTATTTTAACAAGTTTCCTCTACACTGCAGGAGTTAAAGTTTACATCACGGAGTAAAAGTTCGGCAGACACGTTTGTTTATGTCTGGCGCTGCGGTGCCGGGTGGGGGGAGGAGAGACTCGGTGCTGCAGACAGACAGCTGGTGTCATCAGCTCTGAAAAGCCATTTTGCAGATCACGTTAATTTTTCATGGAGATCGGCCGCGGATTCCTCTTCCGTCGGCATTCTAGGAATTGAAACTAGGAATCGAAATAAAAAACGTTGAGCGATTCCGGGAAAAATGAACAACCCTACATCGCTGATAACCAGGTGCTGCAACACCTTTCACATCTAACAGCACGAGGTTCTGCTGCCAGTCGCCAGGTTTCTACAGCTTCTCACCCACCATTCTCACACTTCAGCTTCATAAAACTAAGGTTTAACAAAGAGATTTAAAGTTTTAAAAGTCTAGGTGAGATGTTGTTAAAGTTTATGGTTCGGCTTCTGCTGAGAACATTAAAAATGGTGATCTGTGGCAGCTTTATGTGAGCATGAGGTGGCTCCACTGATGGTTTAGGTGAGATCTCATTTGTCTGGAGGTTTCATTTCAACACTCTTGTAAAAACAAAGTTCCTCCTGAATGAGACAACAGGGCGTTTCTGGTGTCTGCAGATGGAGGAATGCTGCAGAGACCGGTTTCATTTGAGATTAAAACACTAATCTGGGTCAGAAGTGACTTCCACGGTTCTCCCAGAAGAAACTTGCCTCCACTCAATGGAAGAATAAATATTTAAGGTGGTGCAAAAAACACACACACACCTATCAGTGTCTCCCCTACATAGGCTCAGGCATGGCGCTGTGTCACAACTACTGTATAAACCAGGGGTGTCAAACTCATTTTAGCTTAGGGGCCACATTGAGGGAAATCTAGTCCCAAGTGGGCCGGACCGGTAAATTAAAAAATAACTTCAGATTGTTTTCTTTGTTTTAATACAATCAATATGAAACAAGGCTGGAGCCTGAGGACAGTGTAGTAGAAGTACAACACCTGAAGTGTACTTGAAAATTAGAAAAAATAAAAAATCAACAAATAAAATAAAACATTCCTTAGTGATTCAAAGAGCTTACAGATCACACGACAAGATCAGTTTCATGCAGCACTTAAAAGTATATTTGACTCATTTTACTTTACATCTTTTAGCTTTCACCAGCACATCAACATCAGAAGTCACATCCTGAGTGGCGGCCAACTTCAGGATGTGATTCAAGTTCTTGTGTGAGCCTTCAGTGCAGCTTTGTTGCATTTATACTCATTACAGAGGAAACTTGCTCACAATGATACGTTTATTTTCACTCTACATTGTAAAGTTTGAAAATAAAATTTACACAACCATCTCGCGGGCCGGACTTAACCCGCTTGCGGGCCGGATTCGGCCCGCGGGCCTCATATTTGACACCCCTGGTATAAACCTTTGAGCGACACGTCTGCTAAACACATTTCCATTATTCCTTCTGCCACTTTGGCTTTCCTGGTCTGACGCTGTTTTTTTCCAGGCTGCGATGGGTGACGTCCAGAACCCCGTTCTGAAGGTCTTTTCTCTTCTGTTGCAGGAATTCTGAACGTGCACACTTCCAAAATCTGTAGAATGTGTGTTGACTTTTCACAGGATGAACGAAACAAACAGAAAAACCCTTGTTCAGAAGATTTGTGACAAATCTGATGTGGAAACTCTGCTTGTGGAACCGTTCTGTGTTTCGGAAGCTTCGAATGGCAAACCTGTGGGAGGTTTTGGAGATTGGATAGCAAATGGAATAAAACATAAGAAAATGTAACTTTTTCCAGGTCATACCTGAACTCCAGGTGAGCTCCATCACCTGCAAGGAGATATATTAAGAGTCCTCTGCTTTTTGCTGATGATGCCGTTCTGATGTGTGAGTTAGCTGCTCCTAATGATGAAGTTTGAGAGGAAAGAAAAGAGGGAAGGAGGTCTAGGCTTCTCCTGGACCTGTTGGGTTGAGCCTCAGCAATAAGAAAAGCCAAGCCCCACATGACCTTAGCTGTACATAAAACAGCTCACTGGAGAACATCAAACTTTTGTGGCTCCTACCGTTTGTGTGAAGTCACCACCAGGCGTGTCCTGGAGAGATGAGGACTTAGGTTTTTAACATTTCTGAATGAGTTTAGTGTTTAAAAGTCCAGGGGTCTCATTTATCAAACAATGCGTAGAATTCTTACCAAAACTGTACTTTTGTTCAGCAAAAAAAAAAAAAAAAAGTACTTACGCCAAGTAGGTTTGTGATCTATCAAACATGGAGTACGCACAGCTGCATGCAATCTCCGCTTCATAAGTCGGAGACTAAGGAGAAAGTTTCTCAGCTGCCTTTTAGTCACATCCCGCCCTCACATGCCCACTTACTGCCATAGTCGATGCAAAGTGCCTTGTGGATCTCATGCATAAACATAAGCCGGCTTGTTGCAGCATTTCGATCACGACCGCAGATCAAGGAAGTGCAATTTCACAAGCAGAAATTCAGGTACTTGTGGGTGAGGTGGAGAAATGAAAGGAAGTGCTTTTGCAAAACAAATAAGAGAAAATCCACGGAGTGGCACTGCGCTGCTGAAGCCATCAATGCTGTGAGTTCTTCAGAGAGATCTGTGGCGGATATTAAAAAATGATCCGATCAGGATTCGATCCCCAGACTCCCAGGTGAAAGCCACACGCGCGCTAACCAGTCACCCAAACAGAGATCTCCCTTGTCCAAGTAGCCAGGGCGTATGATCAATTGGGTCACAGTGACAGGACACACACACTGTCACAGACACATGACATTCTGTCTCAATCGGTCCCCCTGCTGATATTCTGCTTTCCGTATTCTGCGCTTCAGGCTGTGTGTGTGTGTGTGTGTGTGTGTGTGTGCGCTTGCGTGTGTGTGAGTGTGCGTGTGGGGGGTCTTGTTCTGTGTGAAAACGAAGCAGTACAAGTGATAATGCTGCAGGATTTCATAATTGTATCCTTCTCAGCAGCAGCACTGCAGGTGCTCTCCATGTCCAACATGTGCATAAACCAGGTCCTTAGTCCACTTAAAGTTGCGCACATTTTTCCACTAAGTTTTCGGTCTTAAATCCCAAAGTTTGCGTTGAAAGTTGCCTCTGCAGTTTTCTGACCCCGTTTTGTGCGTAAGCAAGCTTGATAAATGAGGCCCTGGATCCAGTCCTCATCTCATCACGTTTTCCTTCCCAGCAGACAAGCCGTCTCGTTTCCATTTTAAACGATTGTGATCATTAGTTCTACAGATGTTCTGGAGGTTCTAGAGGTCCCCTTTAGAGACCCGTCTGAACCGCCAAGTCTACTGGAACCTCCAGAACCAACACTGCCAGGAATAACTGGTGCTGTTACATATCCTAATCTGTTTCCCTCAAACCTCAGAGACAGGTAGACGCATCAGAAGTTGCCACGGCAACATTTGATCTGAATTAAAATCCTTTTGTTTTATATTAATAAACTGTTGATGCTAAATATAACACACACACACACACACACACACACACACACACACACACACACACACATTCCTGTTTTAATCCTGAACGCTGATGACATTCATGCATCAGAGTAATTACACTAAAACCATCTTTTGTGGATAAATGTTGTTGTTTTTTTCCCATCAGGCCTTGGTGCAGCCGGTCGTCATCACTCATTTGACTTTTCCACGCTTGGCGTCCCATCTGTGTGTCCAAAGCTGTTAATCACCCTTAAGTCCATTGGACAGTGTGGCAAAGGTCCTTAAGGGCTTAAAACGCACAAACGGGACACTTTCATGTAGGTTTGCCCATTGGATGGGAGCGCTTTGATTCTACTGTCTGTATGATGCTTGTGTCAGTGATGAAGGCCTGTTGGTCATCATCATCATCCTCACGGAGGTGATGCTGGTCAGATTTACTCAGATGAAGAGAGGCTGCTGTGGAACTAACTCAAGCAGTCACAACAAACAGCAGTTATTACATTTCTGTTGCAGGAGAACCTGACTCAGGTCAGAGAGATGGCTTCAGACACCAAAGAGGACCAACTGGGTCCTGTCCCGTTAAAACTGGATTCGTATGCTTTTATTTTTCTAAACAAACTCGCTGCAGCTTCAGTTTGATCCGTTTTCAAAGCCCATTAATCGTCCAAATGTGGCCTAATTACACTCATGAATAAAAAAAAAACATTTACACTGGCTAGAATACAATGCAGCACTTCCTTTGTTTTATGATTTCTCAGAGTTCAAGAGTCCCACCTGGGTCACCTGATTATGTCATTGTTTGGTCCCAGGATGCAGCACAGTATTTTATTATGAAAAAAAAAAGTTCTATATTACAGAGTACTTTATAACCTTTGTAATATATGTGTAATGATTACATTTTAAGCTCATTACTTTATTGTTCAGGTGCACATGACCTCACCTGGACTCTGACTTGATAGAAATCAAACACACAAAGTAATTTATTAGCAAAACACACACACACACACACACACACACACACACATATACACAGGTGTGTGTATATATATATATATATATATATATATATATATATATATACACACAAAAACCTTTTCAGGATTTGTAGTAAAGAACTTGGGCGTAACATTGATTCAGACTTGACTCTGAACATGTTCATGCAAGTTTGACTAAACAGGTGTGTTACAGGTTAAACCGACTCAGTTCCACCTCTGTGGATATTTGACCAAGTCACACCCAAATGTTTTTCAGCTCCTTTTTAAAACACTTTCTATGTCCAAATCAGCTGACTCAAATCAGTGAAACAACCCAAGTCCTGCAGGAGTCTGTTATCGACCAATCAGGTGGAGGCAGGCTGGAACAGGTTTAACACCTGTAGGGGCAGGTGCTCTGATGACCAGCCCTGGGAAGTGGTGCAAGAGACAAAGTAAGTACTTATTAAATATGTATGGCAATGTTTCTTCCTGCTCTACTGTTCTAGGTCTAACCACAGCACGTCCACGTGATTAAAGGAAATGACTGTTTAGTGTTTACATGTCTGAGGAGGAGTCAGCTGATTATTTGTATTTTGATTGATTAACATCATAAATACAAGTTTAGCTATTTTTCTTCATAAACTCCCAGATAAATGCTGCTTTAGTCCACACCAGACTCACCTGTGCAGCATTACACCTTTGCTTTTGTTTTTAGCAGGAATCTGATCTCAGATCCGCTCCTGTGAAGGTCCAGCCGTGACCGTGATCCGCTGCAGGAATTAGCCGGGTCCCAGCAGACACCTCATGTTTTTATTTTGGGCTGTGCTCGGCTGCTGCTCACACTTCCGTGTTTTTTGCCACCGTAAAGCAGGAAGCTCTGCGGTAACGAGCAGGAGCTAATCTGCCCCGCTACTGTTTACCTGCAGGTACGTCCACCGGACGGGTGTCGGTAACGGCCCCGGTGGTCGGTTAAACCCCCTCCTCCCGGACTAATTACCGGACCGCGTCGCCTCGGAGCAGCTGTTAGCTCCCGGGGAAGTTGTCAGGCTTTGTTTTTACCTAAACGTGTCTCGTCACGTTACAAACCGGTGACTTTACGTTACAGGACGGTGATGTCCGGTGAGCTGGAGCGGAGGGAGAAGCTACATGGAGGCTAACTAACGAACCGGACCGGGACCAATCGCTGCTCGGCTCACGGACAGGAGGACTGCGGTACATTAGCTCCAAGATGCCAGCAGGTGAGACTAGCGCGTGCGCATGTTGGTGTAAATGTGTGCGCGCGTGTGTGTGACAGGCTGGAGGAACAAGCTTATTTTTGTGTTGCGTTTAATGACCTTGTTTTAAGCTAATAATGGCAAGGTAAAATAAGTGCAGTGGTGCCTTCAGGGACACCGCCTCGGTGTGGGATTTGGGAAGCACTTGTAGGCTCAGTAGTAATTTATAAACTCAGTCGTTTACATCTTCCTTTATAATGCTGCATTAAACCTGATTGGTTCTCAGCTGGTTGGTACAGGTTATGTCATAGTTAACCCACAATGCATCACGAAAATGTCAGGTACAAACTAAACCTCTCATTTGTCAGAAAATTGAGTTTATAAGGAGAGCCCCATTGTTAAACATAACATTTAAACATGTTTGTCAGCAGTGATGAGTTATTTAGTTTAACTTGTAAATAAAATGTAACGTTTATGATGTGTGTGATCATCAAGTACAAAACAAGATAATCAAGCAGTTTTCCTTTTGAGGACAGGGTTAGGGCTTAGGGTTAACCCGTAATAAGATCAGGAGCTGATGTGTGACCGGTGTGGTTGCACCTCCAACAGCATGGTTGCTATGGTTATGCTGCGCCCCTCTCAGAGTACCATTAATATGTTAAATCTGTCAACAAAAAATACATTTAAAGAGCAAGTCACCCCCTACAAGAAACTTACTTTACTCCCACTTCATGTTTGAAAAATGCAACAAATGCTGTTGCTTGGCAGACCGAGAGGGCGGAGCCGCTAACAAATACACACACACAGGCTCACAATGGCATTATGACATCATAATGTACCAGATGACATCATAGCATACCTCTTAGCCAATAGCGGTGGCAGATTTAAATTCAAATACAGTGCAGAATTTTTCCCTGACGACGGCGCAACACTGACAGTTTTAGGCAGAATATTTGAATTTTAACCAAGATGCACTGAGCTGCCAAATTATTGACTACACGTGTCTGTAGCATGATTAGACACTCCTTTATATAGTTTATCAGCAAAAAAAAGTGATTTGGGGGTGACTTGCTCTTTAAAGTCTGTCCTTGAACTAAAACAGCAACTTGTTTTTTTTATTAGACTCAAATTATTTAAAAACATTTTTAACACTAAAGCCTGTTTTGAGTTTTTCAGAAAATGCAAAACAGATCTGTAAACATAAACCAAATTAGCATGAATTCAGCTTCTCAGGATGAGGTTTGTAAATACCAAAACAAGCAAAATAATAAAGGTTCAATTTGCAGTCAAACAGACTGAATTAAATAAATACATGAAAAAAATAAAACAGTGAACAAATAAAACCACCAATGCAAAAAAAATCATCCCAAGTTTAAGAACAGCACCTAACAAAAAGTAAAACTTGATTGTTAAAATGAGGTTATAAGAAAGAGCTTTTTGGTTACCTGGTTAAAGTAATCAACCCACCTGGGGTTAAAGTCCTAAAATTTCTGCTTTTAGTTAAGTTCAGATAATCAGAAAAACTTACATTATTATTTTAAACCTAATTTTCTATGGTAATTTATCCCTAAACCTGTATTATTAACATTTATTTTCAGGTAATGAACCAGAAAATGTCTCTGTGTGTGCGTGTTGCGTTTATGGTCAGCTGTTGGCTTTATTTATTTGTGTCCAAAATGAAACACCAACGCAGCCGTTACCAGTTTAGGGAACACGTGTTCAGGAAGTGTCAGAGGACACGAGACGAACCGAGTCGCTTCAGCAGGCGACTCCAGAGGGAATAAAGACTTTAATAGTTTTATTTCATCAGGATTCAGCTGAAATAGAGAGGGAGAACATAAAGAAGAGGAGAAACGTTTCCAGTATTTAGCAGGTTTTCATTAGTATTTATCCAGATGATGTGCAGATGGATTAAGCTTCTTAAAACTTGGGTTTCTGATTCACTTCCAGGGCTGGACTGGGACAAAAATTCAGCCCGGGCATTTTGACTGGAGACCGGCCCATCACCTGTTTTTTTTTGGAAAAGACATTAAGCCTTATGCTGTTTCTGACACACACCAACGTACACTTTCTTATTGGTAGTATTTATGTATCAATCTAATAAACGTAAACCTACACCATCCTTCCTATCCTGGTATTCTAAAAAGTAGGGTTGGGGGTAACTGATTATTTTTAAAATGATTATTCTGACGATTATTTTATCGAATAGTCGACTATTCTAATGACTATTTAGATGATTAATCTAGCGATTACTTTTCTATTGCACAATTAATAAAAACCAAAAAATTCTCAAATAAATTCCTCCAAAAAATTGATAAGTCGTTACTGTAAGAGAATAAACACTACAGGCCTTCCATTTTGTATAACACTGCTTTTATTGTGTTGCGGTTGTTTATGTTCTGGTGACGTGTAGAACTTGGGAGTGCAGGCCGCTGCCTGAGAGGTGGTTGGAGACGGAGTGTCTCCATGCTGCTTTGTTTTGTTCACTTATGTGCATGAGGCAAGTGGTGTTACGACCCTTCCTGGGGAGTCACGTGTTTCTCCTATTTTAACTGTAAATCCTTCTAGCTGTTATATTTATAACAAGAAACAGATATTCGGACAGAATATTTTCACGTTTATTCGAATATGATTGTGGAACACACCCAGCATCATAATAAATGAAGTAATATTTATGCCAATTTAAGCCTTTATGGGTGACCAGGACTCTGTGTTTATGAATGTGGAAGACACCCAGCATCCTGTGATGGCACTAATAACATCAAGAGATAATAAATAAGGTAATATTTAGGTCAATTTAACCCTTTACACGTGACCAGGACACTGTAATCAATTTTTGGCAAGGGAAATGATCATTTGTTGCCATTTTTGAGGTGTTTATGAATGTGAAAGACACCGGCATCCTGTGATGGCACCAATAACATCAAGAAATAATAAATAAAGTAATATTTAGGTAAATGTAACCCTTTACAGGTGACCAGGACACTGTAATCAATTTTTGGCAAGGGAAATTATTTTCTTTTCTTTTTTTTCTTTTTTTTTTTTGCCATTTTTGGGGTGTTTTTGATGATACAGTAGACAGTATGAGTACAGTAACATCAACAGATAATACATAAAACCCTTATTTGGTCAATTTTAGCCTCTATGAAAATCTTAGTGATTCAATCACTTTTTGGCAAGTAAAATGCCATTTTAGTTGTCTACAATTAAATCATCAATAAAGAATTTAAAGATATTTTGAGGCATTTCTTATAGGTAAACGGGAGGGTGTAGTCTATTTGGCAAGTGACAATCTTAATTTTATGTGCTGAAGTGCTTTTATCTTGTTACTTTTAAATAGAGCAACGTAATGTATAGATAGCAACCTACACAGTGTCATTGTAAAGCCAAAGCTTGATCATTTTAAATACTTTTTTTCAAGTAAAAATGTGCCCCAAACTAGTTAACTGTGGCTCCATGTCAAGTGGACTAAAGAAAGGGAGGGGAAAAAATTTAATCGCTGGAGAATTGTTTATTTCCATTTATACAACGTTTACATTCAATACAGGGTACCATTTTACATTGTTTATTTATTTTTTTAGTATCAAGGCTGTAACATAAAGAAAGCCAGTTCTTACCACAAAGTTTGTGGCACAAACCATCTTTCAATCGCAAATATTGCAAAAAGGATTAATATATCCTCATTGTGAACGTTTAAGATAAATAGCAACACTTAAAACAACTTCCGAACTGGAAAAACTAATGTGGCAAGGTGCAGAAAGGAGTGCCCGGGCGGGATTCGATCCCCAGACTCCCGGGTGAGAGTCAAACGCTCTAACCAGTCAGCCAAAGGGGCATCTCTTTGGCCAAGTAGCCAGGGCGCATCATCAATCGGGACATTGTGGATGCTCACACTGCCACATCTTCCTCCCTCTTTTCCACAAGCACGTCCTCGTGCTCCCGCGCAGGCTGCCACAAACACTGCCACACTAATATCCGCGATAAACATCTGTTTAAGTACCGGAAGAGGTTATCTTTGCTTTCTGAATGTCCATATTGCTAGATATGCCGAGTTTTAGGGCGAAATCCTGGGGAATTTTGTCTAGAAATGCAATTACCTAACCGTGCGCGATCCCGCGGTGGCTAATCATTTTTTGGCAGCGAGTCAATTTATGGCACAACACCGGCTCGGGTTTCTCCTCCTCCTCCCTCTTTTCTTCTCCAACCTGTCGCTGGGCTGAGGCTCCATCACTTCCTAAATTGATTTTACTTGAACCTTCACTACCAAACAACTGTGAGATTTTAACACATGTGCCAGCATCAGCCTGAAGGGCCAGTTTCTTTTTTAGTCGAAATTTCTCCGCTCCTCCTTTCCGTTTTTTGTTCTCCATTTTGTTAAGCTCGTCTGTCTGTTTACTGAGATTCACAAACAACTGGCGGGTGCATCAGACCTCTGGCTATTGGTCCAGCCCAGTGTATTATTACCAATTGGCCAATCCACCAACTTTTACGAGGCGTCGCGTGGGGCGGCGCGGACAAGTTGTCCGCAACAACTAGAGGCCAGAAAAAAAAAAAAAAACAGACACCGGCCCATAAAAGATGAAAGGGTCGGCCCAGCGGGCAGTTGCCCGCTATGCCCTATGGTCAGTCCAGCGCTGTTCACTTCTATAGAAATGGGTTGTGGGGTGAAGCAGGTGGAGCATCCCGTAGGTGGTTAGATCGTGAACAAATTCCACTGAGCTCTGGATCTGTTGATCTTTTACCTGTCTGTAAAATTAAATCTGCAGGTATTGTGTGTAAACTCAGAATTAGTGAACATAGTTTCCTGCTTCTGCTGAAGTTTCAGACGTTTGAGTTTAAACTCATTTTGTTGAAACGGAACAAAGCAGAGTCTGATTCTGTCTCAAGTAGAAGCTGTTTCTTCACTTTTTTGGATTATGATTTTCATTTTTAAGAAAACAGTTTGGTGTGTATCCTTTAGGGATGGGTACCATTGATGGACAGCCAGTTTGATAAACACATTAGCTCAGTGGTGATTGCTAGCT